GCAATTCATTCTGGTGGATTTTCAAAAAGGGAGGGCATGTAATTGGAAGCTTTAGAACAATCTTGAAGTAGAAATCTCAGCATACTTTCCTAGTACTGTTGTTTTTAGAGGGTCAGAGTAGTTTAGTGTTTAAGCATTGGACTACAACTCTAGGGGTCAGGTTCAATTTTCCAGTTCACCATTGAAACCCACTAGGTGACCTTGGGCGAGTTAGCTACTTAGCCACATAAAAAATTGCAATAGTCTCACCTTAGGATCACCATAAGTCAGAAATGATTTGACAGCCCCTTCTACATTGCCATTTAAAATCCAGATTATTTGATTTGAACTGGATAATAGTGTAGACAAATATGATCCAGTTCAAAGTGGATAATGTGGATTACCTGCTTTGATAATCTGGATTATATGGCAATATAATTGCTATGGCAGGATTCCAAACTCAAGAATGGAAAACAGAACGTTGAAGGACAGGAAAACAGATTTAAAGATGGGCTCAAAGCCAACCTGAAAAATTCTGGCATAGACACTGAAAACTGGGAAGCCCTGGCCCTTGAGTGCTCCAGCTGGAGGTCAACTGTGACCAGCAGTGCTATAGAATTTGAAGAGGTGTGAATGGAGGGCGAAAGAAACGTGCCAAGAGGAAGGCGTGTCAAGCTAACCCCGACAGAGACTGCCTTCCACCTGGAAACCGATGCCCTCACTGTGGGAGAAGATTCAGATCAAGAATAGGGCTCCACAGTCACCTACGGACCCACTGCCAGGACACCACACTTGGGGAACCATCATCCTCGGACTGCTAGGGATCGCTTAAGTAATGGCAGGATTGTTGATAGCAGAAAAAAATCATGTCATTGCTATGGCAAGAGCACCTGGCAGTACAAAGGGTTAAACTTTTGTGCTGGCAGGACTGTTGACTGAAAGGTTGACGGTTCAGATCTGGGGAGCAGGGTGAGCTCCCGTCTGTCAGCTCCAGCTTCTCATGTAGGGACATGAGAGAAGCCTCCCACAGGATATCAAAACATCAGAGTGTCCCCTGGGCAACATCCTTGCAGATGGCCAGTTCCCACACGCCAGAAGTTACTTGCAGTTTCTCAAGTTGTTCCTGACACAAAAAAATTGCTATGGCATTGCACATTTATGTGATAAACTTCGAAGAATGTGGTATAGTAAAAACAAGCACCCAAACACAAAACAGATTTATTCAGGGCTCTTCCACAAAGCCATATAGCCCAGAATATCAAGGCAAAAAATCCCACAATATCTGCTTTGAACTGGTTTATCTGATCCAGACAGTATTTCCACAGTTTACCAGGCTAAATAAGCCTGGTAAACTGTGGGAATACACACTGCTCCCCCAAGTCCTCAGACCTTTTAGAAAATAAAAACTCGGCCAGCTCTCCGGTGTGGAGAAATGGCACACCACGAGAGCGGGGCTGGGGGGAGAGGATGGAGGAAAATGGCCCCCCCCCCGCTCTCCTGACGCATAATTTTTATGCATCGAGAGAGCCTGCCGAGCCTTCTAATGGAGGCCACATAAGTTTTTATTACTTTTCTAAGGGGTCTGAGGGCTTGAGGGGAGGGGGTAGGGCCTCCATACGTTCTCTCAGGCTAGTCCTGAAAGAACGTGTGGAAGCCCTACCCCTTGTGCACACCCACTCCAGAAAGTGTGCACCTTCTGGGGTGGGTGTGGACAGGCCCTCAGAAACATCCACGTTTGGTGATGCTTCTGGGATAAAGGCCTGTCTGGATCCGGTCTCAGTTCAAAGCAGATATTGTGGGATTTTCTGCCTTGATAATCTGGAATATAGGGCTGTGTGGAAGGGTTATCTGAAGGCTCTTCCACACTGTCATGTATCATGTTCTGCAGTTAATGGTTGAGTAATCTTTAAGTAAGAGTTCATGGGGAAAGCAATTAAAGGTGGAGGTATGCAAGAGATGGGTTGCAGCTGGGTATTTCTGGATATAAAGAGCTAGCCTTGGGATTGATCTTTGGGAGAAAAGTATTTGTTTTATTTTGGTGATAGATGATGCTGGTTTTCCCCCAGGTTTGTGGATTTTTGGTATCCTGACCTGTCTCCTGTACTCTTGGAACCCTGAATCTTTGGACTAGGGTATAGACTCTTAATCCCTGAACCTTGCCCTATTTCCCAGAATATCCAGGCGGAAAATTCCACAATATCTGCTTTAAACTGGGTTATTTATTTAAGAAGAACCTTAAAACCTGGCTCTTCCACTGTGCCTTTGATGAGTAGGTATACAATTTCACGTGAATGTTTAGCTTAAAGTTCTGTCATTGGAGTAGACGTCCCCCCCCCCACTTATGGGAAAGCTTGACTCCACAACCCCCGCCATAATGAGTACTACTCCACATATTATCTGCTTCTCTCTTTTATCTTGTCTGAGTTTTTAATTAGTTTTAATTAGTTTGTTTTTAATCATTACATGCAGCCCACCCATTGTCTCTGTGCCTGTGTCTATTGTAATTCTTATATTGTTATGTATTCATATGTTTTATGTAATTATGATGGAGCCCCTGGTGGTGCAGTGGGTTAAACCCCTGTGCTGGCAGGACTGAAGACCAACAGGTAGCAGGTTCGAATCCAGGGAGAGGCGGATGAGCTCCCTCTATCAACTCCAGCTCCTCATGCGGCAGTGGTTCTCAACCTTTCTAATGTCATGACCCCTTAATACAATTCCTCATGTGGTGGTGACCCCCGACCATAAAATTACTTTCGTTGCTACTTCATAACTGTAATTTTGCTATTGTTATGAATCATAATGTAAATATCTGATATGCAGGGTGTATTTTCATTCACTGGATCAATCTGGGCATAAATACCCGATACACACAAATCTGAATACTGGTGGGGTTGGGGGGAGTCATTTGTAGTTCCTGGGATTTATAGTTCAGCTACAATTAAAGAGCACCCTGAACTCCACCAATGATGGAACTGAACCAAATTTGGCACACATAACTCCCATGAACAAGATAAAATACTGGAAGGGTTTGGTAAGCATTGACCTTGAGTTTTGGAGTTGTAGTTTGCCTACATCCAGAGAGCACTGTGGACTCAAACAATGGTGGATCTGGACCAAACTAGGCATGGATACTCCATATGCCCAAATGTGAACACTGGTGGAGTTTTGGGAAAACAGACATTGACCTTTGGAATTTGTAATTACTGGGATTTATAGTTTGCGTACAATCAAAGAGTTTTCTGAATTGGGCCAAACTTGACACACGGAACCCCCTTGACCAACAGAAAAGACTGTGTTTTCTGATGGTCTTCGGTGACCCCTCTGACGCGCCCTCGCAACTCCCCTAGGGGTCCTGACCCTCAGGTTGAGAAATGCTGTCATGCGGGGACATGAGAGAAGCCTCCCACAAAGATGATAAAAACATCAAATCATCCGGGCGTCCCCTGGGCAACGTCCTTGCAGACGGCCAATTCTCTCACACCAGAAGCAACTTGCAGTTTCTCAAGTCGCTCCTGACACGACAAAAAAAAATGTAATTATGATGTTGTTTATTGTTTGCGTTTTCTGTTGTGTTTTGATTTTGTTCATTGTAATTGTTGTTCGGGCCTGGTCCCATGCAAGCCATTTCCAAGTCCCCATTGGGGAGATGGTGGTGGGGTACAAATACAGATTATTATTATTATTTGAGTCCATATTCATATAATGTGAGATTTTAGTCACCTCTAGATTGGACTACTGTAATGCGCTCTACATGGGGCTGTCCTTGAAAATGGCTCGGAAATTTCAGCTAGTCCAGCGGGCGGCAGCCAGGATGTTAACTGGTGCTCCCTACAGAGAGAGGTCAACCCTCCTGTTGAAGGAGCTCCATTGGCTGCCGTTCATTTTCCGGTCCCAATTCAAGGTGCAGGTGCTTACTTACAAAGCCCTAAACGGGTTGGGACCTGCCTACCTGCGTGACCGCATCTCCGTTTATGAACCCGCACGCTCCCTTCGATCATCTGAAGAGGCCCTGCTCACGATCCCACCTGTGTCGCAGGCGCGTTTGGTGGAGACGAGGGATAGGACCTTCTCTGTGGTGGCCCCCCAACTCTGGAACTCTCTCCCCAAGGACATCAGACAAGCCCCAATGTTGGCAGTCTTCAGGAAGAGCCTGAAGACCTGGCTGTTCCAGTGTGCCTTTCCAGAATAGGAAACTCCTGGCATCAAGTCCCAAATGCACTTTGTTAGAGATTCGGGATTATCTGCACATTGCACCTACCTCCAAATACCTCTACATATTACCTGTCAAGTTCAGCACTTTTAAATTTTGTCTATTACATTTGGCCTGGCCTTTAGGTTTTAATTGTGTCACGGTGTCATCGTTTTACTGTTTTATTGTTTGCGTGATGTTTATTATTTGCTTATGAGTTTTATTGTGTATTGTATGTTGTTGTTGTCGGCGGCCTTGGCCTTTGTAAGCCGCATCGAGTCCTTTGGGAGATTTTGCGAGGTATAAATAAAGTTAATAAATAATAATAATAATTTTCTGCCTAGATATTCTGGGATATGTGTGGAAGGGCCCTCTGTCTCAATGAGGCTGTGCATGCCCTGTCTTCAGCTGCGGTGGGTGTGGTGGATTGCTATGTAGGGCTTCCCCTTCACTGAAGTGAATCTCAGCACTTTTGAGGTAGGTTGGGATTCAAATAAGCTTCATTCCAGAAGAAATGGCAAGAAATAAAGAAAGGGGAGAGGGAGGCAAAGGAAATGCTTCTCCCTCCTTGCCCTCAACCCTCAGTGTTGCTACTGGGAGGGCTTGTTTTGTAATCCTCTTGAGCAACGCTTGGAAGCCACCTTGGCGCGCGTTTTCCCTCCCTCCCTGCCTTTCTCTCTGCTTCCTATTCTCCTCCGCCTCAGAACTGGGGCAAGTAGCGCAGAGAGGCAGACGCGTCGCGGAGGCTGAGGCGCCCCTGGAGAGCCGCGCCTGCGCAGTGCGCACGCCTCCCGTCTCTTCTTCTCCTTTCCTTTCTCCTCGCCTTTTCTCTTGACTCGAAGCCGCCACAAAGCGCGAGCGGAGTTGGCGAGAGGGGGCTCCGCGGGAGGCATCCCAAAGCCGCGCCTGGAGGAGAAACACCCGGGAAGGGAAGAAGGAGGGAAAGGGGACAGGTTGCCTTCTTGGAGGAAGCGCAGCAGCAGCAGCCACCTTGCGCGCCTGGTCCGCCTTCCCTCCCCGCCCCCTTTCGCCCATCTCTTCGGTGCCCATCTGTCTGGCAAAAAGGCAAAGAGGGAGCAACACGTTGCTGGCAAGCTGCCTTGCCTGCTTTCTCCCTTTCTCCCGCCCTCAAGTTGCTGCCGGGCACTGGGAGCAACTTTGAAGACCTCCCTCGAGCAGGGAGAAACACAACAGGAGGGGCTTGTCATTCAGTCCTTCCAGGCTGTGCTTTGGGGTTGTGTTTGTGAGGAGAAATCATAAGAACAGGACAGGTTTTGCGCGCCTTGCCTCGACCCGCTTTCTCTCTCTCGATGGAGCAGCGTTGCTTCGCCCGACGGAGCGTTGCCTGCCACAAAGCCACCGGCTGAGGGAGAGATGCTGGCCAGGATGCCAAGTGGGCGACCCCAAGGCCTCAGGGGGCGAGTGTGGGCTCGCCCAGCCCCGCCAGTGCCTCTCGCTGCCTTCCTGGATCTAACTTCCCAAGGTCTTCTCCTGAGAGGCTGCCTTGCCTTCAGGACCCAAGGGGAAACCGTTTCCCGTCATCGGATAACGAAGCCCTTCTTTGCCTTTCTATGAACATGAGCTTGGATTTGGTTTTGCTCCCTTTCTGGACTCCTGGAAGCCTGGCCTCTGTGAAGGATGTGACTGGAACCTGCAACCTCTTGTGGAAATAAAAGACATTATTTATTCATCACCCAAGTCGCCTTTCTCTTTGCTCCAGCCTTAGGGGAGATGTTTGGCCCTGGCAACCTCATCAGCTGCAAATAAAAGGGCATCCTTACTCTGTACCTGGCAACCTCATCTGCTGCAAATTTTGTTTTCATGTCAGGAGCAACTTGAGAAACTACAAGTCACTTCTGGAATGAGAGAATTGGCTGTCTGCAAGGAGACGCCTGGATGTTTTGATGTTTTCCCATCCTTGTGGGAGGCCTCTCTCATGTCCCCGCATAGGGAGCTGGAGCTGACAGAGGGAGCTCATCCATGCTCACTCTGGATTTGAATCTTCAACCTGTTGGTCTTCAGTCCTGCCGGCACCACCGGGGGCTCTGCTGCAAATAAAAGGGCATCAGCACAGAGCTGTACTCCAAAACATGCATCCCATCAAGGCACTCTTTGGCTTGGCATGGCTTCTAGGCAGGCTTTCTGCCCTAGCAGCTCTGCCCCAGGCACCCTCCAGAGGAGATGGCCCTCCTGTTGGCAGAAAGGGCAAGGAGTGTGGAGCATGGTGCCGGGCCTCTCTGCCACCCCTGCGGAAAGAAGCAAATGGGCAAGAAGTTGTCTGGGCTGCGGAAAGCATGGCTCAAACTTCCGCTCAGAGCAGACAATCTAAAGGCTCTACAGCTCCAACTCCACAGGACTGGACTTCTTCGAACAATGCCAAGGATTGGAGTATCAATGGAGAAGCCGTGCCACAGTCTGTTGTCCCCTTGGGAAAACATAGACAGAAGCATGTCAACAAAGACACTATTATAGCCTTGGAAACTGCGAGAGACTTTGATCTCCTGCAGGAGACAGAAAGTAGGTGGCATAGTACAGGGATTAGTTCCAAGAGACATGCTAGACTTAAGCGAGGTGCCACTGAGCTCCAGGACCAAGGACGAGCAGGGAAAGCCAAGGCTTTCAAGAATGTCTACCCCGCAATAAATGTTTATAACTTCACAGACAACCAAAGTACCCATGAGGTAGAGAGTGATCTCCCTCAGGCGCTGGCCTTGAATGGCTCCACAGTTGGTGCTGTGGAGAGAGATGCTGGTGCCCTACGCAATGGGACACTCCGCCCAGGTCGGGTCAAGAATCCCTTCTACCCCTTGACGGAGGAGTCGTATGGTGCCTATGCGGTCATGTGCCTCTCGATAGTGATCTTTGGCATTGGGATCATGGGCAATATGGCTGTGATGTGCATAGTGTGCCACAACTACTACATGAGGAGCATCTCCAACTCCCTGCTGGCCAACCTAGCCTTTTGGGATTTCCTCATCATTTTCTTCTGCTTGCCACTGGTGATCTTTCAAGAACTCACCAAAAAGTGGCTGCTGGATGATTTTTCTTGCAAAATTGTACCATACATTGAGGTAAGTCAAAAAATGTGATATTAGTGTTCACATGGTGGGATCGTGGAACTCCTTAATTAACAAGAATAGCATATTTTGCTGAGAGTGCCTTCAGTGTTGTTCCTTTCCTGTGCTCTGAAAAAGTTTTCAATATCTAGTTAACTTCCATTTAACTAGGAATGGTTAAGTTTTGAATATCTAGTTAACTTCCATTTAGGAGCAACAGTGGTGCACTGGGTGGAACCGTTGTGCTGACTGAACTGCTAACCTGAAGGTGGATGGTTGGAATCCATGAGATGAGGTGAGCTGTCTGTCAGCTACAGCTTGCCATGCAGAGACACGAGAGAAGCCTCCCACAGGATGGTAACGCATCTGGGCATCCTTTCGGCAATAGCTCTGCAGATGGCCAATTCTCTTACACCAGAAGTGACTTGCAGTTTCTCAAGTCACTTCTGACACAATTAAAAAAAACTTCCATTTAATATGCTTCATTTGAGCTCCTTCCTCAATCTCAACCTTGGCAATTAAAAAAAAGAAAAAAAATCATGCTCATTTCAAGATGTGAAATATCATAACTTCTAAAGAAATTGTGGTATGTAAAAGTTGACATAATTGACTCCCAATGCTCTGACCACATTTTAGCTTTGGTCCTCTTGACTTCAATGAGGCTGATTATGAATTATACCAGTTGAAATAGTTGAAATAGGATTTAATGTTATATATTGGGTCAGATCTACAGATCCACATGAATGTGAGTTTTCTATTTTATGCATGAATCCATCATTCTACATTCAGAAATACTATAAATGAATAACTGTATCAGTATGTGATTAATAATTTTTGGTTACTGCTAACACAAATAGAATTTGAAAAAAATCTGTTCCTGGTTTGAAAGTGTTATTTCCTGTTTTGTTGTGCAGTACTTACTTTGGAAGTAGTTGTTATGTTTCAGAAACTGCATTTTTGTGTCTGCCACCAACTATGTTAAATTGGTTGAGAGAATATTCATTGAAAAACTATAGCAAAATGTGTTGCAGGATGTCCCAAAAAAACCAAAGTTTTTGCAGTTCAATAAACTTTCCCCATGTTTTATGATAGAACCAATTAGAAAATGTCATTTATAACCCAGGAACACAAATTATGTTACATAGTGTAATAGGGCTATGACTGAGATTTGTATTCCTATCCATACTTCCCAATTTTGATTTTGAAATTATTCCTACTTAAAGTAAATTTCCATGAAAACAGTAAAACTTATTTCTAACTTCTGAAATATAATTCTGCTTATAAAAATTGGCTTGCATTTGAGTATTCTATTGTAACTGTTAAACCAGACAATCATAAGAAATTATGGTCCAGTTCATGGAAACTTTTACATCTGTCTGTAGTTGGATATATTGTGAAGTCACACATGGAAGGAGGGCTTCTTTATTTTCTCTTGCTGTTGCCCAGTTTACTTAAGAAACAGAGAAGAAAAATGTTTCCTTTTTCATATGACTTGATAGTATGAAACCCATAGATGTGATTGATGTATCATTAATGTAACTGATCATTTCCAAATACCATAGTTTTAAATATATATATATTTAAAAAGTGCCTTGGGTTTCCTTTAAATCTAGTTTGGCAAACACAGCAGTATCCTGTCAGCCAAGCTTTCAGCCAGCTGGCCAGAATCTTGCCATTATTCAGGTTGTCTGTTTTATTTATTTACTGAGGAAACCAGAATCACTAAAGCTAGTGGGTGGTATGGAGTAATTTTGGCAAGCAGTGCTACTTTGCCTGTATGGCAATATGTTCACTATCACTCATTTAAGTAACAGAAATAAGGGGAGGGAAGTTTCTCCTTATCACTTAAGAAGGATATTCCGCTTGCTAGGTAGGAAACAGTTGCTGGATTCTTTTGAAATAACATTTACTTCATAGTCTACTTTGACAGTCAATGTAATTGTCATGATGGATTTTCTGAAGATAGAGATTGGGGCCTCATTTACATTGCCATATAATGTTCGTAGTTTGAAACTGCATTATATAGTCAGTGTAGATGGGGCATGGGAGTGAATTCCTCCCTTTTCCTTTTCTTGTACAAGAAGGTCACTATCATATAAATAAATCACTTTGATTTGTGTCATTTTAATGTTCTCCTTTAGGACATGATCCTCAGCTGTGGAACTTCTTATAAAACACAGCTGTGCTAAATAAATGTTTTGTTTTCTCAATCCCTCTCTCCCCGCTCCCATTGTAAGCTTGTGGGTCACTGTAACAATTCAGTATTACTTTACTGTAGGTTTCTACATGACATGCAATTGTACCATTAAAATGGCCAGTGTGCAGAAATCTGGGTGCTTATAATTGTCTGACCTACAAACAGAGCGAGAGATTAGTCACCCTCATGTTGCTGCTGGATTGCAACTCTCATCAGCCTCAGTCTAAGGCCCCATCTACACTGCCATATAATCCAGATTTTGAAAACAAATAATTCACATTTTTGCTTTGAACTGGATTGTATGAGTTTACACTGCTATATAATCTAGTTCAAAGAAGATAATCTGGATTTTATTTGGCAGTGTAGGAGGGGCCTAAGACTATGCAGGCCTTCACATGTTACCCACCTATAACCCTTAAGGCATTGGTCTTTTTGAAAGGTACATTTGTGATGCACATAACATTAGAGGGAACCCTTCTGGTTCTAACCAAAGTTTCATCCCGGGTATATCTGCACTTAATGTGATGGAATTCTGGATGTGGTAGTTTGGCAAAATATGAGCACTCTTCAGCAGAGAAAACTTGAGACCTTATAAAACTACAATTCCCATCATTCCACAGCAATTAACCATGGAAGTGGCAGTTAGTGGCATTGAATTGCATTCATTCTGCAGTGTAGTTGCACCCGTAGTCTTTCATGCTGTTTCCTATAGTGTCCAACCAATTGCCTCTAGAAGAAACTGGAAAGAGAATATGAACAAACTCCCCATCTCTGGTTACTCTAATTCAGAGCTTGTGAAAGTCACTTTTGGAGACAACAGCTGTCAGAATACCCAGCAGACATAGTCATTCCTGTCTGGGGGATTTTGGCAGTTATAGTCCAAAAATAGTTTTGATTCAGTGGCAACCCAGTTGCTCAACTTGTGTTCGGTAGATCTAATAACTTCTTCTCATGACATTTGGCTATGGAATGGATGCACACAAAAATAGGTCATATTATGCAAAATGACATTTTATTTTGAGGAAGCTAAACAAGTTTTAATTTGGCTGAAGTTCTCGATTGACAAAAAGACAGGGATATAGATGATAAAGGGAACTAAAAGCAAGAAGGACATTGGGCACAGATTACTTATTAATTAAATTAGAACTCCTCATAAGTACAAATAACAATGTGAAATAATAATGTAAAACTAAAAGTACACAAGTTTTGAGGGAAAAAGCCTTGGTTTCTATCCTACTAACATGTGCAGATATGAAGGTGCGATCTCAATTGTACTTCCCTTTGAGGGCCCATCCAGGCAGGCTCGTATCTCGGGACCTGTCTCGGTTTTGTCAGAGTTGATGCTTGTTTTGTGACTTATATCATCCATTGGCCACTTTCATAGCTTTTTTGGGGTGCATACTTAAAACAATCTAGGAGTTTATGAGAGAGGCAGTTATTTTACTACTTGCAATGGTCCTTACTGAAACATATCTTACTGTAGTATGCTTAAGGAATATTCTGAAGCTAATTTCATACATTGCAAGTCCTGGCCAGTGCCATACAACTTATGATACATGGATTTGTTGTTGTTATGTTCATGTGGGTAGACAAATAACAAATGCTTCCTACATAGGCATCGTGGGTTGGCCTTAGTGGAAGAAGGATGATACCATAAAAAAATCAATAACTTACTGGAATGGCATGGATACTAGCCAAAAAAGAGAGAAAATGATTCCTTTTAAGAGAGGAACACCTAAAAACAACCTCAAGATAATGATAGCTTAATGCTTAAAGGTTTAGAAGCATTGAACAAAACTTGGCTTAATGTTCTCCATGTGTTATTCATCACAAAACAATGAATTGCATATTAATTGCATGCCATGAAATCATGGAGTTTTATTAAGGCCCTTGGGCTTGTGGCATACTTCCAGTGTGAAACTACAAACCCCACCTAGTTTAATGAGTCCTGATTGAATATTTGGGAGTGGTTCATTTTGTTTCATTAGATCTGCTAGATCTCCACACTGTAAACAAAATAAGTTTGTTGGGAGAGTAGTTTTAAAGATTTTATATTTCAAACCATTGTTAATGCAACAAGAAGAGACCAACAGAAATCAACAGAACATACATGTAAGCATAACTACCAAGTTTCTGTCCTTTCTGTGCGTTTGTAAGATGGGGTTGATAACTGGATTTATCCTTTAAAATCCAATGTGATGTTAGTTTCGATGTAATAGATATAATAGATAAAGCAATTAAGTAAAAGCAATTTAATTGCTAATCACACTTCCTGGTTGCATTCAAAAACATTAATTTGCTATGGATATAATTGTAGTACATTTTCATCATTTTTTGACATCTCTTTTTAAAAATCATTATTCATGGATTGTTCTGATTTTTTTTTCATGCTTGCAAAATTGAATGTAGTTTAAATTGTGCATAATAAGAGAAATAGCCACCCTGTTCGGAAACAGTAGTAATAGTAGTAGTAGTAATTCAGAAGGTGATACTTTAAATCAGATATTCCAAGAAATTGCCTGGGTGATAGTATGACAGCTGGTACTGAGGCCTCATGGCGCTACGCTGTTTCTGGAGCGCCGCTTTGGAAATGCGGTTTGCAGAGCGGAGGGGCAGAAGGATACCAGTGAAGTAATGTTGTGGACAAGGGGGACAGAAACCACCACAGAATCCGTGGAAGTATACCAGTGAACACACAGAGATAACAGTGAACCTATTTTTGTTCTTTATTGAGAAGTGATAAACAAGGGTTTGGGTAACACATAAGACTGAAGGGGGAGATGGTAATCCACATCCTGACTCCGCACAAACTGTAACA